ATCTGAAACGTTATTTTCATGACTGCTGAACAAGCTCCTGTGGTCCACTTTTGGCATCTGAACTTTGTTCTGTGTCCCTCATCTCAAGACATGTAAAGTTCAAAACGGCATGATGACGGGTCAGCATTCTTGCAATGGGACAGTATCCGTCTCTGTCATAAAGGTTGTAATATCCAGCAGTAAGCTCAGCAGCATGATTTTCAACTTTGTACCACCAGTGAATTCCAGATACCTGTTATCATGGTTAGAGGTTAGTAATCATTCGGCAGAAAATGAAGGGGAATGTTGATTGTTTTGTTGTGAAGTTTACTTTGATTGCTAATTTGACTTTACAGCCCAGGAAAGCTTTGTTGGCTTCATCTAGAATTTGGTCACCATGATTCAACAAGTTGTTAGAGTACCAAGTCAAGAAGAACTTCCCTTTCTCGGTGACAAATGTACCATTTGTTTTGAAGAATCCAGTAGATTCTGGGACATCATTGTACGTGCCTGCGTCATCTGGCAGTTCCCATTCAGGATGGCCAGCCCTTGCTGCAGCTGTTTTGTAATCTTCCTTCAAATATTTGTCATAGCACTACAGATTGTAGAATTTCACTGTTATGATGATTTAGGTGTTCAAATAATCAAATCCCAGTTTTGATGAGAAACAATTTTGTTTGAAATCCGAGATCAGACTCACCTGAAATTCTCCAATACCAGGAAATTCCCATCCTTGACTTTGTGGATAAGAGGGGTATCTAAGCTCACCTGCTGGGCCAAGCCCAACTTCAATGTCTATAATCAGCCCGGATTCTAAAAATTCTGACATGTTTTCTCTGAAACTCTTCATGTAGTCACTGTATATCTGCATACATCAAGTTTAATCATGTTGTAATAACCAAGATATTTGTTCCTATAGCTTATCATACAATAAATGATCGTTCAATGACTTGAACTTTCCCACATAGAATAATCTGTTTCTATTGTTTCATTATATGATCCTTAATATGTTTCTCGTTTTATTTTTTGATATTGTACTTCTTAATTCTTATACATGTGATATATTGATGAGAAGAGGAGGATAAGGTAACAAGGTTGATTGAGTCAAGCATTTTTTGGGCTAGGATTATGCAAGTTAAACCTACAACTGACACTTTCAACCTGACAGGCTGTATCAGTTTCTCTCGGTTTTTAGTATGTTAATATTAATAACACTATACTTCTTAATTGTAATGGAATGTTATGTAGTCGAAAATTAGATTATCAAGTAGATCCAGGTCAGCACCTTTGTGACATGCATTTATGGAAAGCAAATCTACACATGATACATTCATTAGTAAATGATCATTTTGGTCCTGAAGTCGTGAGGGTTGATATATTAGTTTTTGAAACTAAAAAAAATGTTAAATAAGTCTCTATAATTTGTAATAAGTCAGTTATATTTAATCATTTATTGTCATTTTCATTCTTGAATATACAACAATGATATTATTTTAGTCACACATTATTTTAAATTTTAGATTAATTTGATGGTCAATTTACATTTTCAACAACTACATTTTTTTAGTTTCAAGAACTAATATGATAGCATTTTCAAAATTCAAGAACCAAAATGACGACCATTTACTCGGTGGCTATACAAAAGATACATAATTATAGTTTTAATATATAGTTCACCTCGATGGCTGTTCTTCCAAGGAAAATAGGCTTGTTGTCCACGCCAATAGTAAGATATTCCTTGTTCCTGGTGCCTGAGCGATTGGTGTAGAAGATATCAGGATCTGATTCTCCGATGTCAAGCACCCACTGGGGAATTGGGATGTTAACTACATCTCCAACGTTCCCACCACATTGATGAAATGACATAATAGCTTGCAGTTTCAAACCACATTCCTGAACCAGCTGAAACAAACTCCTATAGGCACTCCAATCATACTGTTTTGGCCCCTTAAGTTCTATGATCCCCCACCACACATCAACCATCACCCCATCAACACCTGCTGCTCGTAGCTGCAGAAGCTGTGCTTTAAGGCCATCTGGGTCTCCAAAAACATTGTCAGCAGTGATAACTCCGAGCTACAGTAGTTTGAAAGAAAAACAACAAAACATGATAACTAGCATTGTGAGTACATGGTGGTTATTTGTTTTTGGCTTATATATATTCATATATCACAAATCGATAGCTTAGAAACACACTGGTTTATGTGAATGACTTACTGGGAGCATGACATAAACTGGAACGTAATTTAGCAACATAATGTTTCTGTCAGAAGTGGCCATCTTGCTGCTTGCGTTTGTTTTTTTAAGCCTGAGTGAGTTGCAAAGTTTTTTTGAAAGATGCTACGTAGAAGTTGCTTGTTTGAAGTCACGGTGCAAGGAGGTTTTTTATAGAAGAAAGAAAGAATGAAAGATAGAATAATCGTACACCTGAAAAAAACGGAAAGAATAAACTCTAAACCCAGAAAAAGACGAAAGAATAAAGAGCATGTCAGCTGTTTTCTAATTAAAACCTATTTACAAAAATGCTATATGTTTGGAATAATAGCTGAAACCTATAAGCACCTTTTTTTTCATCTGAAACGTTATTTTCATGAAAATTTTATATAGCTGTATATGAACAAATAAAATATAAAAATATAGAATTTAGTGTCAGTTCTTTTATGTTTTAATAACATAATTCAATAACGTGTAAATAATAAATATATATATATATATATATTAATAATATAAAATATTTTTATATTTATCATTTAATTGTAAGATAAATTTGTCGACTAATACAAAAATTAATTTTAAAAATCATAATTATTACAAACTGTGATTTTTCTTTTATCTTTTAAAATTTGGAAACGTTTACAATAATTCACGAAGAATGTTTAATCAAACTGAGTTAGATCCTTGGTATTATAATTTACGATTAGCTGCTAACATATTTTTTTATATTAATATAGAAATTGAACCCTTTAATAATGTATTATGAAGACTGTTAGTGAGACTCTTTTTAATATTCTCTTTATTATTGACTGAAATTTAGTAAGAATTTCAAATTTTATGGGTGTCACATATTTCATTTAATGAGTCTAACTTAATTTATTGGTAGAATTTGTAAAAACAAAATTGTGATTTTTAATAACTTTAATCAATAGTAGATAACGTATTAGAAGAAAAAAATTATTCCTACGGGCGAAAAGTTTTATTTTAGTTCTCATATACATTATTTTTGTTTTATTTTTTTTTTTTGAATATTTTTTCTTTTAATACTTGTTGTCTTTTATTATAAAAACTAAAAAGTAAAGTTAGAAAAATATTAAAACTAAAAGGAAATAAACATAAAATACTTTTATTTATAAAACTAAGAAATAAAATTCATAAAATTACACGAATCTAAAGATATTAAAATTAAAAAAGATCGTTAGGAATAATGCATTTTAACATTTCTCATATACTATTATGGTGAGATCAATTTCAAAAAATTCTGGTTCACACCAATATCAAGCGGTTAGGCATGATAATCTAACCTATTCCAGTGGGTACTTGCCCGAATCTGTCTCGATTTGAACGGAAAAAATTTGTGTTTATCAGGTTCGGGTTTGAGTTTTCTTCCATCAGGGATGGAGATGTTAATACCTCCCTTCACTTAATAATATAATAAAAAATTATTTTATATATATATAAATCAAAATTAAAAATATTTATATGTAAAAATTTGTATTATTTTACTTTTTTTTTTTAAAAATTTGTTCATATTTATCTAAAAGAAAACAAAAAGGTAGGAGCGAGAGGGCGGGGAAACCCAAGTCCCACCGGGGACGGGGTGGTTTAAATCTGCGGGGACGGGGGCGGGGGTGGGGAACATAAAACCCACCCTCACCCCGCCCTGTTGTCATTAGGGATGACAAATATATCCGTACCTGTGAGGTAATACCCGAACCCGTCCCGACTTTAACGGGAAATACCCGGTTTGACCGGGTACAGATACGGGTAAAACCTGATATATTAAATCGGGTATAGGTACGAGTATGTACTTACCCATCCACGTTCTCATTTTTAATTTAATACCCACTTTCAATTTAATTATATTAAAGAATTTTAATTATTTTTTATGTATAATTATTTATTATAATATGAGATAAAGAAATAACTTAATTATAATTATAATATAATTAAAAAATAATTTAAAAATATCATTTTTTTACAAAAAAAAAATAAAAAAAATAAAAAAATTAATGGGTACGGGTACGGGTAACCCGATACCCAAAGAGGATGGAGATGGGAATGGAAATCATATACCGAAGAGTACGGGTACGGAAACAGCCAAACAAGAATAAGTTTGACTCGCAGGATATCATAAAACCCATACCTGACCCGCCCCATTACCATACCTAGTTATCATGCCTACAAGCGGCCATTGCGCAATCATATGAGAATATGAGATCAAATTCAGAAAACCTGGAAAGAAAAAAAAAACAAATTGTTAGTTTGAATATTATAAATTCAATTTTCTTAAATAAAATTATGAGTTAGACTCCTATATATAGAAAATTGTGATTACGAAAATAGATCTTGTTAAAAGTGATTGAACAATTTTTAAATATAAATTAATTACTCAAAAAAATCAATAAATATTTCATATTAAAAAAATTCAGAAAATCTGAAAATGTGTTACCCGATCAGGTGGCCAATGTAAAATAATGCACCTTTCAATCACGGGTCAGTGACGGGGGAAAATGGTTTACTTGATTGGAGGATTATAAGATTATTGCTACTTCATTTATCTCTATACTATTACTTATTCTTTTTAATCAACGTTATTCCATTAATAGTTACCGACAAAATTATGTCAAGTCATAAAGTAGGTGAATGAATTTTAACACGTTTAAGAGCGTGTTTGTATACACGTTTTCAACGTAATTTTTCACGTTTAACGTGGAAGCTATTAGCTTCCACGTTAAACGTGGAAAATTACGTTGAAAACGTGTATACAAACACGCTATAAGTAAAAGACATTCTAATACACTCATCATATGTATTTACAAATGCATAGATTATTTCCTTTTAATCAATATCTCGACTTACTTGATTGAAGGATTACAAGATTATTGTTACTTCATATCTTTATACTATTACATATTGTTTTTAATCAACATTATTTCATTAATAGTTAATGACAAAATAATGTTAAGTAGTCATGAAGTAGGTGAATGAATTTTAACACGTTTAAATAAAAGACATTCTAATATACTCATCATATCCACTTACAAATGCATATATATCATAAGTATTTTTGATAAGTCGAAATATTGATTAAACGGAAATATATATATATTAAAATTAAAATTTTATCTATAAATTTTTAAATAATATTAAAATTAATTAAAATGAAATAACTAGATATACATACTATAACATACATATTAATATAAGCAACTAAAACAATTCTATAAATATATACAGTACATGTACAATCATCTAGTATAAAATTTTAAGTCTCATTCAAACACAACTATATACAACTATCATATAGAATAACTTAAAAGATTCAAAAATTATGTTATTCACTTAATAGTCTCCGCCGCTCGTCTTTATCTACACTTATTCTACTCTCATATAAAAAATAATCATTATAATTTATCCACATAAAAAATACATAAGCGTAAGTTAAATTTAAAAAATATGCAAATATAGTAAGAAATATCTATACTACTCTCTAACATGCAAACTAACAAAAATCATCCTATAATTTATCACATTCAAAAGTCCACATGATTGAAAATGTATAATATTTATCATAAATTTTAACTTATAAGAATAATATTTATCTTACTTGATATAGAAATTAAATATTATTTATAATAAAAAGAGAATCCTTTTACCATTTTCTATCGAATTAAACTTATTTAAAATGATATTTTAAATTTTTAAAAAATTAAATTAAAAGACGTCTAGTTCATCATCTAAAGTTCTAAACAGGATAATTTTTTATATATTTGCTTTATAAATATTGTTTTAATACAAAATAATTCGAAATATTTTGTTCCAAAATTTAAGATAATCACTTGTGTCGGTGCTCTCCCCAAAACGCGATTTGAAGAGAAGAAGACAAAAAAGAAGCAACGAGACCAACACCAACGCGTCTCTCAGAAAATGTGTTACGTGGAATCTTCATAATAGTAGTGTAATTTTTTAAAACAATTATCGATAAATCATAAATTAGTATAAAAATTAATAAACACACAATGTATATTTTATATTGTCAATACATGAAATATATTTTTATAATAAATTTTTTAATAATATAAAAATAATACTCTCCGTTTTATAATAAATATTTGTTTAATTTATGTTTATTATTTATTTAAAACAAGAGTTTAATATGCATATGCTACATGTTCTCCGTAAATACAATTAATCAATAAAAAAATAATTTTTATTATGATTTTTAAAGTAATTATAAAAGGTAATATACTTGTCACGATAACGGTTTAAACTAATACATATATAATTTTTTCCTTCTAATATACACAACTCAGACTTTATCTATCGGTAGAAGTAAAAATATATATGTTGGTTTAAATATATTTTTTGTGTACGCAATTTGGCTTTTTTTTTTTCTTCATTGTTATTGTTTTTTATAGAATCATTATATAAAATTTAAATGTTTCTTTTTTTGGTTCACTGTTGTTAAAATCATTTACAAAAATATTAATATGGTAAAATGATTGTACATCACGTCAATAAAAGATGATGTACAATAATGTTATGATGTGTCAAGACAACATAATGCTATATAAGTGTCATATTAGTAATAGTGCCACGTTAGCAGTATAGTAAAAGGATCAAAAATGAAAAGAAATAACTACATGAACCAAAAATGAAGAAAAAACTTACAAGGACGAAAAATAAAAAAATAAAATAAAATATATATATATATATATATATAGAAAGAGAGAAACTAAAAGAAAAAAAAAGTGTTGTATTATAAGATAAATTTAATTTAAATTGATATAAATTAAAAATTAAATAACAATAAATATTTTTTAATAATTTTTTTAATCCTTTATATCTTTTTTTTTTTTCTTTTCAACACTACAACTACAAGGACATCTTTAATGGAAATATCTTTTTTACATTCTTAAGTGAGATTTACATCTACACATGATTTGTTTTTATTCTTTTCAACTTAAGCACTTTTATAAATATTCTCTTCTTTGATATTTCTTTTTTAGTTCTTAAATGAGTTTCACAAAAAATCTTACATTTTATATATCATTAATAATTTATTTATTAATTTAATTTTTTTATTAATTTATAAATTAAGAGATTTTTTGTTCTACTATTTTGTAAAATATTTTTTTTATAATACAACATATAAATATAAAT